AGCGGGCAGACGCCCCATGGGTTCTTCCACTAACAAAATTTCGGGTACATATTTATTGGCCCGCACCCAGGAACCCAACCAAATAACCGGTTGGAACACCCACGCTCTCTATTACACGCGCCACGTGGGAGTATAGATACGATTCCCATATTTTTCCTATAACTAGAAAATACGTTACATATACACACGTGTATATATATATATATATACCCACATTATTTTTATTTTCATTTAATTTATAAATTTTAATTATTTTATGTGTAAGTAATAGTTTTAAATAATGAATTTATATTACAATTATCAAGATAAAAAATATAAAAATAGTTAATTTAAATTAAATATTTTTTATAATTTATAAATATATTATAGTCAGACAGTAATCGAATTATAATATTTGATTTAGTGATACTAAAGATTTAATTTATTTATGTATTTGTGAATTTATGGTAATCAAACTGAGTTAATAAATTCTTACGTTTTTGGACGAAAATAATATTTTTGTAACAGTTAAGTTTTTTTATTTGAAATAACTAAAATAAGTTAAATATTCGATGAATATTTAATTCTTTAAATTAAATTTTTTTTAATTATAAAATAAATGTTACATGTAGGTAAAGTTAAAATTAACTCAAAGTAAAAAATAAAAATAAAATTAAACCCAATGGTAAAAATATTGTCTTAAAAGTTACCATGAAACCAAGAAAAATAAAAGGCTCAAAGGGTGTGAATGCATGAAAGTTACCAAAAATCATTAGACAATTTGCTAAAAATTCAACAAAGGTGGGAAGTTCAATATTCATGTTTTCACACTAAAATCAAAAACAATTTTGACTTTGAAAAAAAAAAAAAAAATTCTTTGTTTTATGATTCAAATAATAATTTTACATGCACAATTAATTCATTTTCATCTTATTATATAAAAATTATATTACAATATGTGTATATTTAACGTTTGATAGACTAAAAATAAAATTTTGTGGCATGCCCAATTCTTATAAGACCATTTTATCATATAATAATTAATTATATGTTATATAACAATACATGAAATTAACCCATTAACTTAATTTAAAATTAAGGTTGGAACAAAGTCATTTTTACTCGTACCCTAAGGTTTTAGTTTACACGACAAAGCAATCTTTGTACTAATTACCAAGTCAAGCTAAGTCATACACTATTTTTATATTGTCTTTTGATTTATTATTTGTGTAATTAATTACACACTTTAATTAGAAGATAATATATATTTAATTAATAAGAATGTTGAATAATAGGCAGAATATCCCTTACTTATATATTATTATATTTTATAATCATGGTATTTGAAGTTTGAATCGAGCATATATATATGTGTATGTATTATTTTAACTTAGCATTTAGCAAGCATTCTAATCAAGTTGATAATTAGTTTATATATATACCTATAGATAATAGAGACAGTTAATTTCAAAATTTCAAACCCATTAGTACATAATATAGTTTACTCATTCTCAATATATACATACACACACACATATATATATATATATATATGTATATGTATGTATGTGTGTATGTAGAGTTTACTCGGTCAGACTAATCTTTTCCATTTTATTTTATTTGAAATGAAGATATACAAGAAATTCTAGCCTGGTTTTATTTTTTCAAAAAAGAGTAATTTAAGTCAATAAATATAAATTTTATTTCTTTTTTTTCTCCCTTAATTTAAGGTAAAATAACATTATAATCGTCATATAATTCCAACTACATATTCAAAATTTCTTTCGTCTTAATTTTATTAATTCTTCTCGAATGAATGAATTCGGCATCATAATCATTAATATAATATATTTCTAATCGTTTATTACGCTGTATTTCGTTTTCATAAATTCTTATAAAATTCAATCAAAATACTCTATATATATATATATATTTAAATAATGATATAAGAGAGTTACGTAATTTACTTTAAAAAAATTAATATTTCTCTTTAAACTTCGATTTCTATACATAATGAAACAAGTATTTGAAATCTCATTGTTAATATTAAATTGTTTATAGAAAACTAATAGAAAAATCCTTGAAGTTAAAGAACTACATAGACTTTTAACTTGTATATATAATAATATAATATGTATACATATATATATATATATATGTGTATGATCCTCATCTAAGTTGTGAAATTTAAAGTCTATATGGCTAAATCTTGTTTGGCTCAAGTTCATTATTCAACAAAATACAGAACAAATGAAATAGAAACGGTAAGCCGAAATTTATAAAGTCAACATGTTTCAATTTTTATATACGTATAATAGGCTAGTAATTATATGATACCCATCATAGTCTTTTTATATATTTTATATATATATATAGTAAAAGCTCCATGAGAGTAGCATGGATATGAATATATATTGTAAAAGAAAATAAAAATTACTTAGAAAGCATAATTTGAGTCAGATTTTGTAATTTTTTTAACTAAAAGATTATGATATGCTAATATATATATATCAATTAATAAATAATATATATATGTATATATATATATATATATATATAGGGTAAAAATTATCTAAATGATATTTGACCCATTATATTTTCTACTTCTTCCCTTTCTATCTTCTTATAATCCCAATTCAAACCTAAACTTAATTTTTCTTACACGCTTTCTTATATTTTCTACAAAGGGTGATATCTTTTTTTTTTTTTTATAAATTTTTCGTGTATATACACACACACACACACACACATACATATATATATATATATACATGGTAGAAACCAAGAGCTTCAATTGAGAACTGATCATACCTGAGAGGAAACTTCATTGACCAGCAATCTACACACCATTTATTTTTCAAGAAGTATTATTAAATACAAGAGTCAAGAGATTCTGAAAATGTAACTGGTAAATTTTAAATTTTATTTTTTATAATTTTTTTTTAAAAAATATTGAAAATGAACTAGTAAAATATTTATAAAATTCAATATATATATATATATAGATATATATATATATTTTTTTCTTAATTATTAAGTGAAACTGTGAAGAACATCATTATGATGTGTTGAGAGTTGGACCAAGACAAAACAAAAAAAAAAAAAAAAAGTTATGACAAATTAGAAACAATGACATGCAAAATAATAAATGAGTTCTTTGAAATATTAAGCAACAAGTCATAATCAGAAAACAAAAATTATTAAATGAATGAAGAAACCAAAAATCTTAGAGAGAAATGATTAAAGACTTCTCCTTTACAGAATCCCACTTCTTTATAATTATATGAAATGGAGCCCACGACTTAATTGTAATTGACAACCCAAGTTACATGGATTTCATAATTTATAAATTTTTATTTCTTTCATTCTAACCCGTGATAGCGAAAATATAGAGAAAACCCGCAAAAAAAAAATAATAAATGAAAAAACCAAAGTTTCGGGAACGCAAATAAGATGAAAGACCGTAATAAACGTGATTTAGTTTATTTTAAAATTTCGTCAGAAAATCATGAAAAAAAATTTAACGAACATATTTCATTTATATAGTGTTCTGACTCATCTGTGCTCTTAGAACATTGATTTATTTTCTTCTCTTTAATATCAACTAAATGTAAAACAAAAGACTCAGTTTTTTTTAAAATTACAAGAGTCCAAATGTCCAACAATGTTCTTGGTCTAAAATCATTCTCGGAAGAAGAGAATTCGGAAGTTTATTGTCAATGTCTTCATTCATTAAAAAGTCCCAACAGCTCAAATCCTCGTCCCACGTACTCGCGTCGTTACTACTGTTGTTATTATTGTTGTGACTATCAGTTGGCCATTCAAGATTGGGGAATTGCAAATTCTCGAAAAACTTTGAAGAGTCACAAGAAGAAGATGAAGATGATGATGGTGTCGACGCTGATGGTCCAGAATTCGTAACAAAAATCTCATGAGGTTGAACAAGAGGAACTTCATCTACGCAGAAGAAACCATTGTTGGTGAGCTCGAACGGACTCATCATCAAGCTTTCATTTAATTCTTGTTTGTTGATTAACATTTCAGCAGGCTCGACCATATTGTTGTCTGATTCAATCATAGTAGTGGACAAAGAAGCTTGTTCTTGCTCTTGTTCTTGGCTTTGTTGCTTCTGCTTTTGTTCTTTTTCATGTTTGGACTTTTGTAGTTGAGACTTGGATTGCTGTTGCTGCTGTTGATCAGTAGTAGAAAGCGGTTTGTGGGTGACAGGGTCAATTCCCATCTTCTTCAACTTCTTTTTTATGTGGGTGTTCCAGTGATTTTTTATCTCATTATCTGTTCTTCCTGGGAGATGAGAAGCAATCTTCGACCATCTGTAACAAGTTAAAATTTTCAAAAAACTCAGCCTTATAACTTTAACATTCTTTTAAATAATAAATTAATTTGAACGTTTTAAGAATTCAAACAAACATATATAAAACACTTCATTGTATTATTTATACGATAA